AATAAACTGCAAACATATGTACTTTGACTGAAACATGATTGCCAGATCAAAATGGACTTGATAGAAACTGCAAAACACAGCTTTTACAGCATACCTCTAACATCTTGTTACCCGACAATGACGCACTGGTCGTCACGGCCGAAGTGGCAGGTTTTGATGTGAAAAGAGTGTTCATCGACACGGGGAGCTCAGTCGACGTGATGTTCTACGATTGTTTTGCACATATCAACAAACACCTGAATCTGGAACTGAAACCGGTGGCGACAGCTTTATATGGGTTTAACGGTGGAGAGGTAATGCCAATGGGCGAAGTGAGCCTGACCGTAACATTGGGGTCGGGCGACTCGAGAAAAGTAAGAATGATCCGGTTTGTAGTGGTCGAAGCAGAATCGTCTTATAATATCATTTTAGGGCGGACAGGTTTAAACGCGTTCCAAGCGGTCGTGTCTACATACCACATGACGATCAAATATCCTGTGGGGGAAAATATGGGCGAGATTGCAGGGGACCAGCTCACGTCGAGGAGTTGCTATCAAACCACAGTCAGTAACAACAAACAGATGGCAGAAAGGCAGTTGAAAGGCAAGGAAGTGAGGCCTGATCGACCGGGAGGGTCACGAGCGAAAGAGGAAAGAGGAGGACAAGACAAGGGAAAGGAGAAGATAGACATATAGCCCGGAGAAGAGATTGAGGAAATTCAAATAGTGCAGGGGTGCGATGACCGAAAATTCAGGATTGGAAAAAATTTGGGAGAGCGAATCAGGTCGAAGCTGATCAATTTAATAAGGGAATTTACAGACGTTTTTGCGTATACAACGGATGAACTAACGGGGATCGAAGCCAGGGTGATCGAGCACAGACTTAATATTGATCTCAGTGTGAGGCCGGTAAAGCAAAAGAGGAGACATCAGGGTGCAGAAATGGACAAAATCATCAAGCAGGAGGTCGACAAGCTGATGAACGTCGGGCACATTAAGAAGATTCAGTTCCCTGAGTGGTTATCTAACACGGTAATGGTGTCCAAACCAGGAGAAAAGTGGAGGATGTGCATCGATTTCCGTGATCTAAACAAGGCTTGCCCGAAAGATCTATACCCGCTGCCAAGGATCGACCAGCTGGTAGACTCCACGGCGGGGTGCGAGTTGCTTAGCTTGATGGACGCCTCGCAGGGGTATCATCAGATCCCCTTGGCGAAAGAAGACTAGAAGAGGGTGAGCTTCATAACAAGCAAAAGCACCTATTGTTATGTAGTCATGCCGTTTGGATTAAAGAATGCCGGGGCCACTTACCAGCGGTTGGTCGACCAAATTTTAAAAGACCAGTTGGGGAGGAATATGGAAGTGTATGTCGATGACATGCTGGTAAAGAGCAAGATGGAGGTGGACCACGTGGGCGACCTGAGGGAGACTTTCCAAACACTGAGGAGGTTCGGCATGAAGCTCAACCCGGCTAAGTGCTCGTTTGGTGTAAAGGCAGGGAAGTTCTTGGGATACATGGTGACAAAGCGGGGCATAGAGGTGAATCCCGAGAAAGTAAGAGCTGTGATCGAAATGAAGCCACCGGCCAATGTGAAGGAAGTCCAAATACTAACTGGTCGAATAGCAGGGCTAAGCAGATTCATTTCCTAGGTGGCTGAAAAGAGCAGCCCTCTGTTCAAAACCCTAAAGAAGAGCTCGAAGTTTCAGTAGACGGAAGAAGCCCAGAAGGCCTTCGAGGAGCTGCGGGAGACGCTGGCTAACTTGCCCTTACTGGCCAAGCCAATCCATGGAGAAGAACTTGTGCTCTACATATCGGTGGGCGAGAGTGCAGTAAGCTCAGTATTATTGCGAGAAGAGGGAATGGCGCAATTCCCAATATACTATGTTAGTCGAGTGATGCAAGGAGCAGAGTTGAGATACTCGGAAATTGAGAAGTGTGCATTGGCGGTGGTAGTGACAGTCCAAAAGCTGAGGCCATACTTCCTAAACCACAAGTTCAAGGTGCGCACAAGCATGCCATTGGAGCAGACTTTAGGTCGACCAGCAGTATCTGGTCGGCTAGTAAAGTGGGCGGTCGAGCTGAGCGAATACTCTATGATATATGAACCAAGGAGGGCAATCAAAGCGCAGGTTTTGGCGACTTCATACAGGAAGGTACGAAGGAGGAGGAAGATGAAGAAGGAGTGTGGCAGTTGTTCGCGGACGGCTCGGTGTCGAGGAGTGGGGCTGGCTTGGGGATAGTCTTGATTTCGCCTAAGGGGGATTACTTAGAATTTGCCGTCAAAATGGGATTTCGAGTATCAAACAACGAGGCGGAGTATGAAGCGGTGACAAAGGGATTACAATTGGCTCTGGCCGGAGGCGCTCGGAAAATCCAGGTCCATTCCGACTCTTAATTAGTGGTCGGTCAATTCCAAGAAGGTTTCAAGATCAAGGAGGATCGGCTGCAGCGTCATGTGGACAACATGAGGAAGTTAAAGGAAGAATTTGGGACATTTGAGTTAATACAGATACCTCGAGGAGAGAATGGTCAAGCTGATTTGCTGTCTAAAATCGCGCAGAACTAGGTCGATTGTAAGAGTACGAGTGTGACCCTACTCCATATGGAGAGGAGTGCGGCTGAAGTCGAGGTAGCAGAGATCGAGGAGGTAGAAGATTGGAGGGCCCCAATCCAGAAGGAGTTGCATGAAGGGACCATGAAGGTGGTGAAGAGGTTTTTCGAGCAAGGTGGGGTCCTCTATAAGCGATCGTATGCGGGTCCACATTTAAGGTGTGTATCCAAAGAGGTGGGTTGGTACGTTTTACGAAAAGTGCATGAGGGATGCTGTGGTGATCATAGAAAAGCCGGAGCCATGGTCGCAAAAATCTTAAGAGCAGGTTACTTCTGGCCGACAATGAAGACGGACGCTAAAGAAATGGCCAGGAGATGTGTGCAGTGCCAGAAGCACGGCCCGCTCATACACCAACCAGCGGAGACGATGACTACAATGAGCGCACTAATTCCATTTGCGCAGTGGGGAATCGACCTAGTGGGGCCAATGCCGCAGGCAGCGGGGCAGCGAAAATTTTTGATTGTGGCGGTCGACTACTTTACCAAATGGGTGGAAGCTGAGCCGTTGTCCAAAATTACAGAAGAAAAAGTGATCCAGTTCCTGTACAATAACATCTGCTGTCGATTTGGGGTCCCTAAAATCCTGATATCTGATAATGGAACTCAATTCAACGGTAAGCGGGTAAGAACATGGTGCGAGGAAATGGGTATCGAGCAACGCTTTGCCTCTGTCGCCCACCCACAGGCCAATGGGCAGGTAGAGGTAACCAGCAGGATCATCCTAAACGGACTAAAAACAAGACTGGAGAAAGCTTCAGGGGCGTGGGTGAACGAGCTAACATCCGTGCTCTTGGCGTATAGGACCACTCCAAGGTCGACTACCGGCGAAATGCCCTTTAGCCTAGCGTATGGAATGGAGGCGCTTTTACCAGTTGAGTTAGAGCTATAATCCCAACGATCGAGCACTTATAACCAGGAGCAAAATGAAGAACTCATGCTGACCGCCCTAGACACTATTGAAGAACTCAGAGGGCAAGCCTCGACCAGGGTAGAGGCATACAAACAACGGATGAGGGCAGCACATGACAGGAAAGTGAAGATCCGCCGATTCCAGGTGGGAGACCTGGTGTGGAAGAGGGTAGATGTGCTCAAACATGTGGGAAAGTTGGAACCCAATTGGGAAGGACCGTACTTGGTCGAAAAGGTGCATGCAGGAGGAGCGTACTCGTTGAAGGACGCTGAAGGAAGGTCACTGGCTAGGTCGTGGAATGTAGCCAATCTTAAAAAATATTATGTGTAAAACTTTTTCCATATTCGAATAGTTGAATCGTTGTAATCCTCGTACGAGAAG